GTGTTTTTTTATAATTTTTTTTTTCTTTTTTATAAAAAAAACTTTTTTTTGTTGGGGGGAAAAAAAAAAAAAAAAAAAAAAAACATCTGAATGCCTGTCTAAACTGAAAAAATAACATCCCTCTGGTAAACACTGAAGGAAGACATTAGAAGTCAGTGAAAGTTGACTGATGAGTGTTTGAGTGAAAATCCACATATTGTCCTCTTTTGTAGATCATAATCCGGGCATATCTTCCGTTTCCTCTCTTCACAGCTGTCAGCCGTGGCACTCCCTCATCAGGAATGACAGTGTGTGTGTGAAGGCTCCCACAGTAAATCTCTGTGACATCTTAATAACAACGTTATACCTCTTCTAGCTCGGCGGAACAAATGCGCGAATATCTGCGTTGGTGCATTAGCGAAGCAGCTCACGCGCTGATGTGATTTGTCAGCCTGCAGAAACATTGTTTTTTTTGTTTTGGTTTTTTTTTGCTCGGAGAATCAGAAACCCCTGCTGTACAACAACAAGTCAGTTATCATTTGTGTTTCCATTTAAACAAGCAGCCTGTTTCTTTGCGTTGGCGCCCAGATGATGTGCCGCCCAGCGTGTCCCAAACGCCAACCAGGGTCCCCAGAGGAATTTATTTGCGACATCCCTTCCCGCACCGCACGGCCGCATCACACTATGAGTGGCTGGAGGAGCGTTTTTGTTTTTTTGTTTTTTTGGAGAGAGAGAGAGGGAAAAGTTACCTCCTCTCCTGACACACACACCCTTGCCCTTCCTCCCTCCCGTCATGCTCAAATGGAAACTCCTGCAGTCTGCTGAGAATTTTTCATGAGTGACAGGATCCTCAGGCTGGACAGTTTTGACGGCGAGGTCAAGTGTAGTGGGATCATATCAAGTCTGCAGCCTTGGAAACCATGTAGCGATGCTGGATCACTTTTATTTGTGTTCATTTGTATCTTTTTTCACAAGTTTTTGGAGGCGTAAACGATGGAATTTGAGGCAAGACGTCGCAATGGAGGAGTCCTCTTTCACTGAAGCCCGAGGTTTGGAGCTTTAATTTCTTAAAAGCATACGTAGCAATTTTGTAATATATATATTTTTAAATTCTTATTTATATTCGGGTTTTAAATCAGCGGCTTTACAACAGAGTTGAAGTAGTCCGGCGTGCGTAAAGCAGTGCGTAAAGATTTCTTCCAACCAAAAAAAAACAAAAAAACAAAAGAAGAACGAGGCTCGCTTAAACACAGGTTAATCCGCATTTGGGGATCACTCCTAAAATTCGCATCAAATACAATTAAAAGGGATTCAACAATCTTTTTTTTTTTTTTTTTTTTTTTTTGGGGGTTGTACAGTTTGCATTTCTTGAAGTCTCATTCAGCCCCGACGCCGCCGCCGCATAGACTGCATGTGTAACACATATCCAGGTGAATTTACGACAAATTAGTAGTTGCTTAAAACACACTTTAATATCCTCTGCGTGTGGTGTGCACCAGATCCAAAGAGCTCTTTTTTGTGACTGCCTGTAATTGCATTCTAACTCAGATTAAAGAATAAACTTATAAACGGATTACTGACTCAGAAAGAATGTTTCAATTTTGGCCCCTGAATCGGGCCTAAATCTGGCAGTTGCAGCTCTAATCTTTTCTTAATGTTTGATAGGATAACAAATCTCTTTATTCCTATTTTTTATTCATTTTTAAGAAACTTCCCTAAAAGTGTTGCGAAGACTTGCGACCTGTTAGGAAAGCCTGCAAGGGCGCATGCCATCAGTTTTACTTTTCTTTTTCAATTTGGATTGTACCGGTAGTTTAAGTTTTTTCTTTCTGTTTGAGATTAAAGCAAAACATTGATCACATTACATCTGAAATTTGAAGTAAGAAGTAAGTAGTGATAGGGAAATCCCCAGCTTGAATTTAAGTTCATAACTTGAAATCTATGCAGAGATTTATCCAGTGAGGAAATCAGGAGTAATGTTGTCTCAGTGCTGTAACGTGGAGATCTAACAAACCAGCATCCCACCCTTGGATTAAGAAACACATTTCAGGACACAATGAAATGCAGCATTCAAGAAGACACAATTTCAGCTTTGGTCCTCACCGACATTTCCATTTCTCTAAATAGTTGTCACCAGCCATCCATTGTCTCTCCATTTATTTTGGGTGGGTTTGCAAGGGGGCGGACGCAGGGTACAGTCTGGACTCAGGCAAATATGTAAACTCTGTACAGAAAGACCTCAGGTTGGGATACTGCAAGGCGTCAGTGTTGGTTAAGTGTCGCTTTCCCTCATATAATTAGTCCATAATTTACTTTTGAGGTTTCAACTAGGTAGTATAGCATCTCTCGTTGCTCAAGAAAGCTACGATTAACGAAGGCATTTTCTTTTCAATAAAAAAAAAACTTTTCTTACAATAACTACAGTCTCCTCTGTGGTCTGGCTGTTTACGCCCTGCCTCTGCTCTTGGCGTGTGAACTATGCTGTGTTTGTGTCCCTCAGGTTTGAGTTGTTGCTGTCCTTAATGCCAAATTTAAATCAATTCATAACCCTATGACATAGAGACCGTCTTTGGTTGATTGAGGGGAAGTCTTTCCTCTTCATCTTTTTTCTTCCACAGAAATCCAATTGTCTTTGTTGCAAATTTGCTAACTGTATCCTTGCCAGTGAGTCACCACACATCCATTTGAATTTTTCCCTACTAAGAAATTTTTGTATTGTTGACAAAACAATTTGTGCCATCATTATCATGAGAAACAGTTGGGTGACATATTCTACGGCACTAGCAATTAAAGAATAGCGCATCTGCTTTTGAGGGCAATACTGGAAAGGCTTTTTCTGTGTGAGATGGCAGCATTTTAAAATTATCCATCTACTTGAAAAACCAATTACAAGACTGATAGGGATTTATTTGTGTTCCATGCATTTAAGAATTGTTTGTTTTCTACCTCAAAAATATGACAATATTTGTATACCCTCCGCAATAAGTCGTTACGTTAAAGATAAAGTAGCTGGGATTCAAGCTAAACTTTACACAGGATATAGGCCCATCCCACGCACACACACATTCACACAGGTAGCTCAGGTATTACTTGCGGTTTAGCCTTCAGGACTTTAGTAGACACTCCTCATGACTTTTGTGAACTGTCAAAACATGTCCAGAAAAACGGAAGATAGTTTGAAGTCACAAACTGTTTGTTCTGCTCACACACTGACCCCCTCCTGTCGCCCCACACCCAAAGTTGGATGTTGGGTAGATCTCGCTGACACCTGTACAGTGGTGGGCTCTTTTCCAAGTTAAAAACAACAGCGTTTCAGGCGGAGGGTTTGAAAAGCTAGAGGAAATGCCTTACTCCTCTGGCTTTTCCTGCGGGAAGAAGCTGGGCTGTGATCTATACTGGGAAAGTGACGACAGGACATGAGCAGGAACTTCAGATGTTTCCCAAACAAGTAGGGCTGCTGTGTTGAGTTAACAGTTTATATCTTTGAATTTCTCTCACTTTGGGTCATTTCATTTTGAACATTTTAGTCCATGTTTTTCTGAATGTCCAATTACTCAGCACATCCGAGGCCATTCTGGCTGTGTTAGTCATTCCGCAGACGTGGATGAGACGTGCTGCGTCTGATTTCACCCTGCTCACATAAACATACACACCTGTCTGCCAATATGTATCAATAAAAGCGATTTTAACCCGCCCTGGCATCATGCAGCTGAGTCACATCTGCAATTACAATCATCATACTCAAGTCTAGGTTCAGCTCCGAGTATCAGATGTGCCTCATTTTCCAATCTCCAGCATGTCAGAGCAACCTAAGTGAAGCCTCATAAAAAAAGAAAGAAAGAAAAAAAAAAAACGCCTGTGGCAGCACTGACATTTTTTGTTCCTGTAAAGTTAGTCTCAGACGCTCTAACTAAACAGCTGAGCTGACTGCAGAATATGTCGACATAATTGAAAGCTGACTGTATACCAGGTCATTTCTATGATGACAGAGTGAAACAATGAGGACAAACAGAAACTCAAAGGCTTCTCTTGTTTTTCTGAGGTTGTTTTCTGCCACCAGCACAATGCAAAATTATCTGCTTCCCCCCGACTCCTCCTTGTTTTTGTCATAGCACCACACTGTGGTGTACCTAGGACTTGCAACCGCTGATGTGTTGTGACATATTCTTATATGATTGCAACTCAAGTAACGCAATTTAAATGAAACTGAACAACTGAAGCACCAAACATGATTAAAGAATTTTAAGTGCATTTACTGCTTTGTTTAAAGTCCATTGTTTATTTCCCAAGAGTGACCTTATGAGCTGCGTTGTTTGGTTGTCCCACAGAATGTGTTTGTGATGGTGGACAGACTGGGGCCAGCCATGGAGCCTGAGCTGAACTGCAGCTCTGTGTGTGATTCCCCACTTTGCCTCATCCAGGCTGGACTCAGTAGGCAGGAAGGCCAGGACGTCCTACGGAGACTATGCATCCTAAACTCGGTAATCTTTCTCTTGACCTACATCTTCTACTGTCTCTCTGTTCTCAGTTTATTCACACAGTATATGTGTGCACACAATTTGAGTTGTCTGGCTGTTGCTGAGACTGTAGGCGACAACCAGTCTGTGTGTTCGAAAGACCCAGTGATGATCCGTTTTCCATTTGCGAGGACAATTCTACTGATTTCTATTCAAAACAATGGATATTTCCAATGGTTGTAGTGGAGATGGATGCTGCAGTTCCCTCGATATAATCTCCTAAGATATACTGTTGTCACTATTTCTTGACTGATGAAGATGAATGCACGCTAGCGTTGCTTTAGTAGGATGACAATTAAAAGATTTATTCATCTTAAGTTTAAAAAAAAAAATATATATAAAAATTCAGGCATACAAATAAATAACTTTGGGCACTGTATCTTAGATAACTACTTCAAGTGAATTAGTTGTATGTTTAAGTACCAGCCACTTACATCTTTTTACACATATTATAATCCACTTGGTGCACTTTTGGCACTAATTTTTATTCCCACGACTGACAGCCTTCGGGTCCTGTGTTTGGAACTTGACACCACTCAGGACGCCAGATATCCAGGCTTGTGGCTGTGTTGTAAAGATTTATTGTTACACATTCATTTTCAGACACTGTTTTATTATTTTCAGTTATTTAAATTATTTGACACAATGTTTTAGATGGTTACACATAACTTGGAAATGTCTTCAATTTCTCTAGTTATCATGGCAACTATCCTGCATGTCAATCAACAATGATAAACAGTGGAATTAACAAAAGCTGATAAGAATTTTACTCTGAAATTTTCACATGGACATTTTTAATTGCAATTCCACAGCATAGAGTAAATATAAATAGATACATAATACTGGCATGCATAGAGCCATCAACAACTGGCATCCTGGTAATGATGTGTAAAAAGACATAAAATAAACTCATCTTTTATGGTGGTAGAATAATTCTGCAATGAAGATTGCACAAAAATAAATTTTACATTTTTTAATTATGTATTTGGAGGGAAAACATAAAATAGGACGTAGCACCAAAACCCAGTTCTCCATGCAAATCTACAAACTAGGAAAGACGTGTCTCTTTTCCACTATCACCTTGACTCGGCTCAAATCTACGGTTGGTTTCCCATTACAATTGAGTAGCAACTCTAGTGGGTTGTCCTCATATAGTTGGGCTGCCCCAAAGTCAGAAAAGTAGCTTGACGTTATTTGTATGTGACAAAAATAGAGGAAATATAAGCTATCCTGAACATTCTGCTCCACCTCCTACTGGCCTTAAAAACGTCAAATATGCTGAGTCACTGTTTTGAGTTTTCACAAATGGTGGGTCTGATTATTTTTAAACTTGTAGGACACATTGAGCAACATAAGGGAGGTGAGAAAAATATAAATCTCTCCATAGGTCATTGTTGGAGAACTGCAACAAGAAGAGGCATCTTTAGGTCACCAGACTACATGACAAAAATTTGACTCTAACTATGCCAAAGATAGGGTCAAAGAAAGGTTATATTTTATGTAAATGCAGTCCTAACAACAACTTTATGCCTCCTCATATTTCCTTTAAATGCACCGCGTTTGCTTGTTTGAACTATGGTACCATTCCAGTTGATGGAGACAGCTGAAATCGGGAAAGGTAATGGGCATGGACTGAAGCTATGTTTAGAATCCCCTCTGTCCCCGATACCTTTAAGAGAAGAGGGAGGACAGACCAACAGCAGAAGCCGGATGGGTGACACTGTAAACAGACTTCTCAAATAAAAGATAAAGCAGCAGAAACACTTTGTCAAAGAACACAATCAAGTCTCTCTCTCTTCAAAGGACCAAAAAGAAGCAAGGTGAGCTGCCTCTTAGAAATCTTCTCATGCTTCATGATGTTAACTTGTGCAATTAATTACCTTAAAGCAAGTCAACAGTTTGAACCAAATTTTGTGTGAGCTTTGTTGTGTGAATGCATCATCTAAATCCAGCAAATGTTCTGTTTTAGTTTTTCCATTGCATTGTCCATAAAATGCCTCACTGGTGTTGCTAGCTGTTCCTGGCTAACATAAGAACTACCCTGATAGCATGTGACACGGTGTAATGAAACATAACACCGTGCATTTGTTACTGTTCATGGCTAACTAGGACATAAGTATTTTTATGCCTTGTAAAATAGTGGAAAGCCAAAAATAAAAGAAGCTGAGGCAACGTATTCCATAAAATCCCACCTGTTTTCTTATTCTTTCTGGATGTGTTCCCAGATATGGCTACAGCCGCCAGCATTCTGTCCAAGGAGCAGCTCCTTTGCCCCATCTGTCTGGATGTCTTTAACCAGCCGGTCTCCACTCCGTGCGGGCACAACTTCTGTCGTGACTGCATCCAGAGATACTGGCAGAGTACCAATCTGCCACAGTGTCCCATGTGTAAACACAAGATGTACAAGAGGCCTGACCTCAAAGTCAACACCTTCATATCCGAGGTGGCTGCTCAATTTAAAGACCATGGGGAAATGAAATACAAAAACAGACTCGGGAGTATGGACAAGTCAGGCAATGAGGGAGAAGTCGCTTGTGATGTGTGTGTCGGTAAACGGGTGAAAGCTTTTAAAACCTGTCTGGACTGTTTGGCTTCATTTTGCCAGACACATCTGGAGCCCCATCACGTTCTAGGCACCCTAAAGAAACACACCCTGATCAACCCAATTATGAACATGCAAGACAGATTGTGCAAGAAACACGAGAGCCTCCTGAGCCTGTTCTGCCACACAGACCAGACGTACGTGTGCCAGGTCTGTGTTGAGGATGACCACAAGGCACATCGTATGGCTCCTATAGAGCGCGAAAGCCAAGACAGGAGAGATCAGATCAGAAGTATCAACATGGAAGTGAAAGAAGGCATCCACAGTAGGCTACAGAAAATGTGTGAGCTCGGTCAAGCTGTTGAGCTTAGCAAAAGAAACACTGAAAAAGAGGTTGACGAGAGTTTTCTGGTCTTCAACAAACTGCTTCAAGTTGTTAAGACAGTCCAAGCTGAAGTGGCTGAGGCCATCTTGGCAAAGCAGAGGCGTGTCGAAAGCAGGGCTAGTGAGATTACATTGGATCTTGAGCAAGAGATTAATCAGCTGACAAACAGGAGCACTGATTTGGAGCTGCTCTCACAGACAAACGATGACCTCTACCTTCTCCAGAGCTTTCCGGCTTTCTCCACTAAGCTGCCCATCAAAGACTGGTCTGAGATTTGGGTAGAAAGTGCAGTCTATGTGGGAACGGTGAGGAGGGCACTCAGGAGAGCAGCATCACAGCTTGAGGAAACCGTCAAGGCAGAGGTAAAGAGGCTTTGCAAGGTTGAATTTGAGCGAGTAAAAGCCTACGCTGTGGATGTGACGTTGGATCCAGACACAGCTCACCCCAAACTCGTTCTTTCAGAAAACCGGAAGCAGGTCTATCACAGCGACGTGGCTGTGAACCTCCCTGACAATCCAGCCAGATTTTACCCTTGTGTTAGTGTCTTGGGGAAAGAGGGCTTCTGCTTCAGGAGGTTCTCCTATGAGGTTCAGGTGAAAGGGAAGACAGAGTGGGATATCGGAGTGGGACTCGGGTCGGTCAATAGAAAAGGAGGGAACCTGCTGAACCCTGAAAGAGGCTACTGGACTCTGGGAATGAGGGAGGATCAAAGTTACTGGGCACTCAACAGTCCTCCTGTTAGACTGCCACTGATGGAAAAGCCACAGACAGTCCTTGTGTACGTGGACATGGAAGCGGGGCAGGTTTCGTTTTACAACTCAGACTCTCACTCTCATATCTACACGTACACCGGATACACTTTCAGTGAGAGACTTTTCCCCTACTTCAACCCGCGACGGAATCACAGTGGGGTCAACTCAGCACCTCTCATTATCCTGCCTTTGAATATCTAAATTTTCACAATGTACTATCTTTTACGATGCTGTCAGATGTTTCAGCAAACTTTATTACTGATTAAAGCTATAGTTCCACATCTGTTTTGTAATGCTTTATGCTTTTTTTCCTTGCAATAAAATTCTGCCTTATGAATTTGTGCTTGGTTTTAATTTTTACATCTGGGATTTGAAGACACCTGGACTCTGGACCACTTGAAGGATTAAATATCTTTTCCATAGGGGTACCAGAAGGGGCTGGGACTTTATGGGGAATAAATGTCCATGTCTGTGTGTGTAGTTGGCAGCAGAGGTCCCAAGGCGGTCCCTGTCTCCTGCGCTCAGAGCGGTTGTCTGGACAATGCTATCATCTGGCATCCTGTTGGCGTTCTGCTTTCTGGTTTTCACCCTGCGCTTCAAAAACAACAGGTAGACTGAAAAGTGTATAATTTCGGAAGTGTATTTAATAATAATTTTGTAGTTAAATGCTAGCATTTAACTACAAATTCATCAAACAACTTTATACTGTCATGTTAAAGGAGTCTGCTTGTGTTGTTCCATCAGGATAGTGAAGATGTCCAGTCCCAACCTAAACGTTCTGACTCTCCTTGGAAGTGTCCTCACATATATCAGCGGCTTTCTATTTGCAATGGATAAGCGAGCTCACGCACAAGCTGAAGTGTCTATTACTTTGCTTCAAGTAAGTATCTAAAATCCTTGTAGCTGCAGTTTTATACCGTTGAGGATAAATTTTAAGGTGATCCTTGTGGTTTTCCCTCCTCCAGGCTCGGATGTGGATGCTTTGCGTTGGAAGCACCCTGGTCTTTGGGCCAATTTTGGGAAAGACCTGGAGGCTCTACAGAGTTTTCACTCAGCGAGTTCCTGACAAGAGAGTGGTAGGCAGGCTCTTCTGGTTTCCTTGTGCTCGTCTCGTTGGCATGCACATTCTTGTCTTCTTCTTTTGTATCACTGTAGTTTGAATTGAGAACAAACTGTCGCAATAACACAAACCTGAAAGTAATTTAATAATATAGAAATTGATTGTCTTAGTATGTAATCTCATGTCACCTCATGATACACTGAGATGCAAAGTGGTTATAACAAAAGGCAGCTTTTTGGCTGTTATCCACTGTCCTTTTACTGAAAACACTATGTTACCAGATTCAAAATCCCAAATTTGTGTAACTTATTGATAAATTATTTCAAATTCTTTCTCTTAATATGACATATATTCTGAACAAATCTGTTTAAAAAAATTGTATCCATCCATTCTTTGCCTTTTGCTTATCAAAGACCAGGTTGTAGGGTAACAGGTCTAGAGGAAAAAGCCAGACATTCGTCTCCCTAGCAACACTCTCCAACTCGTCATAATAGATCTCTAGGCATTCCCATGCCAGAAAGGATATGCAGTCCCTCGTATAGTACCGATTCTCCCATGGGCTCTTCTCCCAGAAAGCAGTACCTAAAACGTTTTCAAAGGGGGAAGCCTAGCATCCTGATCAGATAGTTGAACCTCTTCAACCGACTCTCTGTCATCCAAGCTGAGTCATGATCTATGATCTTTTTACCAGAGTTAGGGGTCAGACACTGGCTGAGCTCTTTATTCACTGCGACAGACCAGAGCAATTTCCCCGTTACTGCAGAAGAGATCCCACTCCATCCATACCCCTAAACTGATTCTGGGTTTCAGATTTTAGCATCACAAAAAGTCCAATCGAACATACAGATAAACAAAAGACTGGCATCATGTTAGAAAAATTTACATTTTTGAAAGTCCAATAGCATCCTGAACTAAGTGTGTTGCTCACTTGAAGAGGGATGCCTTGACAATCTGATGGAAATTTACAAGACAATGACGAAATATTGTCAAATCAAGATGGTGGCTGGTGATAAATGCCAAAATTAAATCAAGAACTGTTTCAGCAAAGTATTAGTTTGTTGTGTGCACACTTATGCAACCTGATTCTCACAGAGCTTTATATATATATATATATATATATATATCTTACTGGTTCAGTTTTCCGTTACCCTGCACAGCATGTATTCCACATAAAAGCTCTGCGTCACATAAACCATTTCAACTGACGCTCACGTATTTTGTTTCTTCAGTAATTAATGAAGTATTTTTGAGTAATTTAACCTGACAACAGTAATGCATGGCTGCACATTGCTCTGAATAATTGAATACTGTCAAATTTAGATAGAGCATTTACTAAATTAGCCTCGGTGTGTAATTACTCTGAGCTCTTTTTTATTATCTGCAGATCAAGTTTCTGTGTGTGGATGGTGCAAAGCTGTAAGGTGTAAAGATTTCATCTTTATTCCTGTTTCTTTTTCCGTCTCAGATCATTCGAGACATCCAGCTGATTGGCATGGTGGTTCTGCTGATTCTACTGGAGATTCTGATTCTCACCACCTGGAATCTCACAGACCCGGTGAGATGCTCGCAATCTGTCAGAGCTGTTGCCAAGGTGAGAATAATTAGTAAGCTCTGCATTGATTTGTTTGGTAGATTTCATATGCAATATATTACTGAGTCATGATTGAGTCTGAATTTTTTGTTCTTTTAGATGTGTTTTGATTAAACAGAGTACACGAAAGGTGATTTTTTTTTTTTTTTTTGGCGTGGATGTGTCAAGTTTGATGTAATATTTGGTTTCCATTCATGTAGGCGACTGAGAGAGACACCTCCTACTCTTTGTCACAGCTGGACTCTTGCTCCTCAGAATACTCAGATATTTGGCTCATCATCATTGCTGTTCAGAAAGTAAGCTTCAGCAAATTCATTTATGCTTCTACACAGCAACAACACCACTGACTCACTACATTTAATGCTTTTTGATAGTGACATATTTTATGCAATTTATTTTCCAAGAATGCATTTGCAGTTTAGAAAAAAAAACAAACCAGCAGACATTTAGAAATAAAGACCAAAGCTAAGCTGGAAAGGTCGATACAGTTCCCTCCACAGTAACTGGTATCTCTGGGAATAATGAGCAAATTTATGTTTAACTACAGTGGAATATTCTCAAAATGACAAATTTCCCCCCATTTCAGTCCTCTTCATTGTTCATAGTGGCGATCTTCCAGATGTTTTATACTTTTTAATTTTTACTCTGACTGCAGCACACTTAGATAAGCAGCTACCTTCCTGACGTCTGAAGATTAATACCCACTTGCTGAACTTGAATGGCATATTGTCTTTTCTTTACTGTTTTACAGGGTGACAAATATAAATAGTCTTTGGTGTCATGTTTATGCAGATCCGAGACTGGCAGTGGTATTATTTCTGAAACGTCCCCAGACACTCAGATTGACTCGTAGTGGCAGACAATAGTTTACTAAAATAATTACATCCATTGAAATTATAATGTATTCAAAAGTTTGGCGTAGTGATTATGTGGGGAAAAAAAGATGATCATTTTAATTAAAAAGCAGTTTCTGTCAGTGCAATTAAAAAGGAATTCGTTTTAAGGCTTTTTACACATATTTACCAAAAGTATGGGATGTGGTATTTTGCACTGAAAGCACGTTTTTAAAACTCTGAACTAATTATCCTGGAAGTTGCTCAAATCCCTGAGTGAAATTATTTTCTGAAATGTTACTTTTAGATATACAAACAAGGCTTCTGCTGTCAAATTAGCAGATAATTTGCATCATTATTTCTAGAATAATAAGCTCACCACTGAATAAAAATAGGTTCCCAGTGATTGACATGCAACAAGATAAAAGAATGTCAAAATTACCACGACGGGATTTTGAATTTCCCCATCCAGTACACAAGAAAACTTTGACAAGGGAATTTCACCAATATGGGATCAATCAAATCTAAAATCTAAAGTAAGACAGTTTAAATCTAAATCTAAATCAATACTAAAAAACGAAAAGTGAACAAAAAAACAAAGCATAACAAAAGAGTAAATTTAGTAAAACAGTAGCATGTGAAAATAACGACTTCTGCTCTTCTTTATCAAGGGTTGCCTCCTCCTTTATGGCACATACTTGGCTGGACTCACCAGCAACGTCAGCCACCCTCCAGTCAACCAGTCTCCCACCATCATAACGGCCGTCACTCTGGTCACCTTTTCCTCTGCTGTGGCCTTTCCTGTGTTCTTCTTCCTGCACGCCTGGCCCAACCTGGTCTACAGCACCGTGGCTGGAGCCATCTTCATCTGCACACTGGCCACTAACTGCATGCTGTTTGTGCCACAGGTCAGAGACCAAACCTAGCAGATCCCCGACTATAATGTAAGCTATAATATTAGCTTAGAT